TAACTACCCCTTGCCACCCCTCCCCATAATTCCTCACATGGCTGCCTACTCTATGGAGCAGTAGGGGTTAGGGGAGTTGGACATTATTGAAGGGAGCAGCCTTTTTGATAGCAGCCTTCAACTTCCTGAAGGGAGGTTCCAAAGAGGATGCAGAAAATCTGTTCACAGTAGTGACGGATGGCAGAACAAGGAGCAATGGTCTCAAGTTACAGTGGGGAAGATCTAGGTTAGATATTAGGAAAAACTATTTCACTAGGAGGGTGATGAAGTACTGGAATGGGTTACCCAGGGAGGTGGTGGAATCTCCATCCTTAGAGGCTTTTGAGTCTCGGCTTGACAAAGCCCTGGCCGGGTTGATTTAGTTGGAATTGGTCCTGCTTTGGGCAGGGGGCTGGACTTGATGACCTTCTGAGGTCTCTTCCAGCACTAGGATTCTATCATTCTATAACGGGAACATGGTTGTGTGTGGTGGGAAAGGGAATGTGGCTATGCTAGGTGGCAGGGTTCCAGTGGCTCTACAAAAAAGCATTTGCATTAGCACGGCTCCCCTTAACTGTTGTCTCAGCTTCAAGGTCCATGGAAACAGCATGACTAGAGTTTGGAGTCTTAATATGCTGATGCACAGGCAGAAAGAAGCTCAACTCCCCATAATCCCATCTTGAAATCAAGATGCCTTGGACTGAAGTTTCTACTCATCTTATGAAAGCAGCCACTACAAACTCTCAAACTGAGTAGGAGAATGTATCTATAATATATAAACTAGTTTTACTTGACAAGTAATAAAGACTTTCATACACACGTTTCCATTTACCCAAGTGTCATCTTGATTACTCTTAAATTAACTATGTCTCAGGAAATATAAATTGGGATTATATCAAACCTATAAATGACTTTAAAATATGCTAATGTGCACCAATAAGTTTCAACTGAGGTGCCTAGATATAAATTGAGTCAACAGGTGATTAAAGTGCTGAAACTGGAAAATTCATTACACAATTTCAGAACATTACTTTTCCAATGAAACTGCATACATCAAAAACAAAAATAAAACCAACCCCTTCCCCTCCCACAAAAGCAAAAAACAAAAAAAACCCAAACTAGTGTCATCTTAGAAATTTTTTACACAGCCTGATCTGTGGTATCACACAAAATTGAAAGGCAAGAGAAAGAAGCTTGATCACTGAAGAGTTACAAAAGACATTTTCATTGCTTTAACATTTGGTGAGTATCCTGAAAACTCGAACAAATTAAAACTGTCGTTGCAACTTAGTTGAGGTAGTAACAGCGAATTTCAGATAGAATAAGAAATAGCTTTGAAACATTCAGTGAAATCATGGATATAATATGTGTGTAAAAGGTTTGGTTCTTAATTACTGCCTGGAAAGTCTATTCAAAATTGTATTGTTTCAGTATTAAGTAATTATTTAAATTTCTAACTTTATAAAGTACACTTATTTTTGATTGAACTGTCACAAAACAGCTCCATAACATTTTATTTTGTATAAATTTTGATTGGCAAATCGATAAGAACCTGTTTGAAGGATTCACAGTTTAAATTATATCAAATATACCTACTCTGTATGCCTAGCATGCATTGCATGCTTGTCCTGCTGTGTGTAGTCCAACTTTCAATTTATTGGCCAAATCCAGATTGTAAGATGACACTCTCCAGTCCGCACGGAGAACAAACCTCTGCTCAGTGTGATCTCACATGCACTATACATGTGAGTTCATGCTGTAGGGAGGATGCCTTTTTGGACCATCTATAATATACAAGTGAACTGTTGTGTGCCTTGCTAAAATTGTCACAGGACATCACTGGATATACCCATTAATATCAAACTTGCCTCCCAAGAATGGCACACAGTCAGAATAAATTTACCACTTTGTGACTTCTAGATAAACTTAAGCCTCCTGGGGTGAATCCTCAACTTCTATTGCAAATTGTCATAGCTTGGGTGATTTCAGTGAAGATACAATAATGTACACAGATTGAGGTTGCCTCATAACCAATTTTATTTTACTTTTTCCAATTTAGCATTCATTCTTACATTTTGTTAATCAAATTATATACACATATTAATTCTCAAATCATTACTTAATTAAAGATACCCAAAATTCACCAAATTAACAGGAAATATGGAATAAGTAACTGATAAATTGAAATAATTTTAGACCATATATGTTGTTATAATACATACCCAAATATTCTCTCACACTGCTATATTTTCATACTGAAAGCCAGTTCCTGCACTTCTCAAGTGAGTGAAAATACTTCTGTTTAGGTCTTTTCAGGCTATCGCTTTTTATTTAATAATGAAGTAGGATTTAGTAGCATTAGTTATGTAATTAAAAAAATCATAACTCGATTTCTCATTTCAAGGAACCACAGCTCAAGGGGTTGATCCTGCTCCTATTGAGATAAATGGCAAAACTCAGTATTGCTTCAGTGAGAGTATGATTGGATCAGAGTTCTGTAAAGCTAATAAAATTGGAATTCTGCTTCATAATGCAAAAAGACACCCAAGAGATCAGTTATTATAAACTCAATCCTTTTTAAATTTCAATTTTTGTGAGTTTTAAACATAAGATAAATATTTGAAATGGTCTATGAGCATTAAATACTTATTATATAAATACAAAATATTACATTACAGGAATTGGATCTAGTCTGGCAAATCCAATGTTCCCACTGTATATAGCCTCACAACTGACGTACTCTACTTGGCGGATGTAGCTATATTAGTCTGAAGCAGTCAAATGATAATATTGTATCTATGCTAATCTGAGACTACTTCAGAGAGTGATTTATGTGTGATACCTACAGATCCACACATGCTGTAGACAGGGGTATTTTCCCACATAGGGGACCTACCATATCACCTGCTCCAGTTATTTTGTGTTTTCTGTTCTGAGGTAAGGCATCCCTGTGAGTGCTCCCGGCTGGAGCACTTAAGGGGAAAGCTGAGCCCTGTGCTCAGCAGCTCCTCTCCTACCCTCCAAGAGCTTCTGGAGCACCACATTTATGGCATTCAAATTCAGGGAGAGAGTGGGAAGAGCAGTGATGTGGGGGACACTCAAGGGAAGAGACTGGGGGGCTACAGAGCCCCATGGCCAAGGGCCAGAAGCATAGCCCCATGGCAGATGGCAGGGATCAGGCATGCAGCCTGGCAACTACAGGGTTTAGAGCCCTCCTGGTCCTCTGACATGGGGTTCTGTAGAACACCCTGCATTTTCCCTTGTGCACCTCCCCCCCTACAGTCCTCTTACAGGATGTTTCAAAAAAGGCTTCTATTTTCCAAAGTACCATGTCTAGACTGCGGTTTCAATTTCAAAATAGCACTTTTTCGAAAGAGCGCCATGATGCGATTATGCAAATGAAGCGCGGGAAATTCAAATCCCGGCTTCATTTGCAATTTTGAAGTGTCTAATGTACATCTCTCTGTCAAAAGAGGGATGTCGTCTAGACACACGATTTTCACTTATACTGAATTTATGTTGCCTAATCAAATGGCTTCTCCAACTTATGACCAATTTCATTTGTTGCACTATGCTTTACTCATACATTCAGAGAGATTTTCACCAGATCATTTGTTTTTCAAGAGACTGCTTCAGTGAGAGTATGATGTCAGAACCCCATGTCAGAGGACCAGGAGGGGAGCCCTGCAAGAGGGCTCTAAACCCTGTAGCTGCTAGGCTGCACGCCTGATCCCTCCCATTCGCCGTGGGGCTATGCTTCTGGCCCTTGGCCATGGGGCTCTGTAGCCCCCCAGTCTCTTCCCTTGAGTGTCCCCCACATCACTGCTCTTCCCACTCTCTCCCTGAATTTGAATGCCATAAATGTGGTGCTCCAGAAGCTCTTGGAGGGTAGGAGAGGAGCTGCTGAGCACAGGGCTCAGCTTTCCCCTTAAGTGCTCCAGCCGGGAGCACTCACAGGGATGCCTTACCTCAGAACAGAAAACACAAAATAACTGGAGCAGGTGATATGGTAGGTCCCCTATGTGGGAAAATACCCCTGTCTACAGCATGTGTGGATCTGTAGGTATCACACATAAATACATGGCTCCGTCGACGGAGCCATGTAGTCTAGACATAGCCTATGTGTTATGATAGATAGTATTTTGCATTTTGGCACTTGTGTTCGAATAGCAGCATATGAAATTCAGTGCATTAATTTTAAGGTTTTTCATCTGTTAAGAATATCCATATAAATGAACTGGAGTGATCAAATAAGGATCCAGGACCTCTGAGGCCCTAGCTCACCCAGAGGACAAAGTGAAGACTAGAACTTTAACAGGGTTCAAAAATGTGCTAGGTAGATTCGTGGAGGTTAGGTCCATCAATTGCCATTAGCCAGGATGAGTAGGAACAGTGTCCCTAGCCTCTGTTTCTCTGCAGGTGACAGGGGAAGGATGACGTGAGGATTATCTATTGTGATCCTTCCCTCTAAGGCATCTGGTATTGGCCGCTGTTAGCAGACAGGATACTGGGCTACATGGACCTTTTGTCTGACCCAGTATGGCCCTTTTTATGTTATTATGTTCTTAGCCCAAAATAGAAATCCCATTACA